GATTGGTTTTTTATGTAAAATGTATATAAAAATTCTAAGCTATAATAAATAAAACATCAAAAATGAAAATAAACTTCAAAATTAACTTATTTTGCGAGTAATGGTGAACTACAGCAATGGCTTATCATCAATGGCTAGACTTGTAGTGATTCTTAAGGCTATTTAATTGGTAGAAACTTTGGCGACAGTCACCCATTTTGCATCCGTAGGGCTTCTCCTTCGTATGGACACTGCGTTTATGGCACAACAGGTGCGATAACTGGCGGAATGTTTGGCCACAATAGCCGCACATAAACGGCTTCTCCTTGTTATGCATGAGTTTGTGGGCCTGGAGGTCAGCCAACTGTTCGAACTGTTTATCGCAATTACGATAATTGCATTCAAAAGGCATTTCGCCCGAATGGATGCGCTCATGGCTCCGGAGGTCATGTTTGTCGGCAAACCATTTGCCGCATCCGTCCGATTCGCACCTATACTTCTTCTCCTTCCGATTCTGGCGCTCCACGACAGCCACACAACTGCCCCTCAGGTGTCGTCTCAGTTTCGACGCCTTCCTGAAAGCCATTCCGCAGCCTTTGTGTTCACATTTGTACGGATAGGCCGTGTGCTGCAAGTCGTTGTCGACAATCAATGCACTCATTTGGTCGGCACTACGATTACAATCAACAGTTAAATCACAATTATATTGCTTTTCCGCATTTATAGCGTTAGTATCATTAGAATCGTTACTATTATCGTTAGAAATATCTTTAGAAATATTGCTATCATTACCACCGATGATGGCGGGCGGCAGTGACTGGTCATCACCACCATTGCTATTATTAGTGCAATCATTGAATATAGTATATCCAGAATTGCGTTTTCTTAAAGTCATTTGGAGTTCAGGTTTTGGTGAGGCTTTGGCAGGACTGGGCTCCGGCGGATCCACCGGATGTGCGCTATTCTTGTGGTCAATGAGTTCGCTCTCATACGCGAAATATTGGCCACAGTTTTCAAAATCACATTTCTTGAAGTGCTTTAGCTTTAGATGTTTCTTGAGTTGGCGTTTCGTTTCCAACACTTCCTCGCAGTCATTGAAACGACATTTTATGCGCCTATTATTCATATCGACTGAAGATTCACTTGACGTCGGTTTGCAATCAAAACTTTCAGACGATGTCTGACTTTCATCTGATTTCACAACCGATGGTTTCTCGTCGGCAAAGAGTTTTCGCTTTAAATAATCATAATTTTTATCCACATTTGTCTCGAAATTAGTCAATAGACTACTGAAGAAGTCCTTACTATCTGTCACCACATCCTTCTTAACCGACAATTCCTGTGAATTGGTATTCATTTCTTGAGATTCCTTACTCTCGGCCTCGCGTTTAGTAACAGATCTCGTGATCTTCCTCTCCGATGAGAAAACGGGTCGAATCTGCTGTTCGTTCACGTCTTTGGTCTCCTTCTTTGGTTCAGACATTTTCTGGATTATAGTCTTCGCCGACTCGTGACTCATGCGATGGACAAGTAGTTCATTGCAGTCACAGAACTTCATGTCGCAGTCAGCGAACAGACAGCTGTAGATGTAATCCCGTTCCGCCTCTTGCGATGATTTTGTCGGTGATTTCTGCGGCGATAATAATCTCTTTTTCTTCGTTTTCGTATTCCTCTCGCACTCCGTGTCCTCTAAATCGTTCACCTCTTTGTCCACTTCAGTGTCGGTCTCGAGGTTTGACTTATTCTTGTCCTCTGATGTCACTTCTTCTGAGTTGACAGCCGTTGGACTCAGTATTGCAGTCGTATTGTTATCTTCCGTCTCACGTAAGATTGGATCTCTTGTAGTGTCTGTCGACTCTTCTTTGACAAGTGGCTCAACTGAGACCACAATTGATGTCTGACTCTCAGCGGCGAGTCTTTTAACAAATTCTTGACCAATGAGTGAACTCTTGAGGACATATCTCGTGCCACAACCCATTTCACATGTCTTAACAGGTCTTCGTTTATGTCTGTTCTTGAGGGCCATAATCCTAGACTTGGGACCAATCAGTGGACGCGTTCTCGACTTCATCATCGGTGACAGTGATTGACGACTAGTCGACGGCACCGATAGGAACCTATTGT